GGCGTCGAGGGCGGTAATCGCGCGTCCTGTCAGGCTGTGCCTGGGCTGGGAGGGTCGGGTTAAACCGGTGTGAGACCGGGAGAGCCCCCGGCCACGAACGGCGTCCGCACTGGGTGGCTTTCCAGCAGGCATCGCCTCTCGGCTGGCTTCTGCTCACTGGAAATGAAGTTGGGGGGAAAAAATAATCAATTCTGGTGTTTTACAGCGAAGAAAACGTTTGGAAACTTTGTGACTACATCAGGAGTCAGGATCAATACCCTTTAGAAGAATTTTATGCTGTTTTCATATCCAATGATAGGAGGATGGTGAGTGGATGAGATGTGGCCTGAATGCAGCTGTGGAGAGGTTCAGGCCTTCAGACCCCAGCCTGGCGTAGGTGAGACGTGGGCCCCGGCCTTCAGACCCCAGCCTGGCGTAGGTGAGACGTGGGCCCCGGTCTTTAGACCCCAGCCTGACGTAGGTGAGACGTGGGCCCTGGTCTTTAGACCCCAGCCTGGCGGAGGTGGGGCGGGGGCTCCGGCCTTCAGACCCCAGCCTGACATAGGTGAGATGTGGACCCCGGCCTTTAGACTCCAGCCTGACGTAGGTGAGACGTGGGCCCCGGCCTTTAGACCCCAGCCCAACCTGTAAGTGAGACATGGTCCAAAACCCTCTTGTAGCTCAGTTTGGCTGGGAGGCGTGCAGACCATACCATGTGAGATCTTTTCCTTATCTGATGCATTCAGGACCATGGGAAGAGGAACGATGTTGAGGGGGTCCAGAGAAGGGCCACCAAGATGATCAAGGGTCTGGGAAGCCTGCCGTATGAGGATAGGCTGAGAGAGCTGGGCTTGTTCAGCCTTGAGAAAAGGAGGCTTAGAGGTGATTTCATCACCATGTATCAGTACTTAAAGGAGAGCTACAAAGAAGATGGAGACTCCCTTTTCACAAGGAGTCACATGGTGAGGACAAGGGGTAACGGGTACAAGTTACTCCCAGGGAGATTCCAATTGGACACAAGAAGTAGATTTTTCACAATGAGAACAGTCAATCATTGGAACAATCTCCCCAGGGAAGGGGTTGACTCTGCTACGCTGAACACATTTAAGACTCAGCTGGACATGGTGCTGGGGCATCTCATCTAGATTGTGCTCAAAAGGTTGGACCAGATGATCCTTGAGGTCTCTTCCAACCTGGTATTCTATGATTCTATGATGTCTCTGTGAGCTGTGGGGGAATTCTTCCCTGTAATCTGTCAGTTTAGGAGAATGGTTATGTTATGTGGTCCAGAATAGTATCTCCAACTTCATGCTCCTGAAAGATAGAAACTAGAGAAAATTTTCTGACTGTGGCACAGGTGTAAGCTGATGAAGTGGACAGGTTAGCAAAGAACTAACAAATTAACCTCAAATTAACGTGTATTAATCTGAAAGGTTTTATTAGCTTCAGATTTATTCACTTATAACTTTCAGATTCCACTCTGGAAGCAGAAATCGGGACATGGAGATGAGCCTGTTGTCTGGGTAAGGCATTCTGTTCTCTCTCAGTGATTTCGAGTGTGTGCTTCTGTAGTTTGTATCTGCAGGATCAGACATGGGCAGTGTCAGCCATCTTTACTGTAACAAACTGTTCCATCTGAACATCAGGAAGCACTTTTTTACTATGAGGGTGACGGAGCACTGGAGCAGGTTGCCCAGAGAGGTTGTGGAGTCTTCATCATTGGAGATATTTAGAAGCCGTCTGGACATGGTCCCGGTCAGCTGGCTCTAGAGGTCCCTGCTTGAGCAGGGGGGTTGGATCAGATGACCTCCAGAGGTCCCTTCCAACCTCAACCATTCTATAGTTTTGTATTAATATTTATGATTCTTTTACAACAGATTTATAGAGAGCCTAAATCTGGTGCTCCTTTTTACCATTCATAGTAAATTAATAGTGAGACAGCCAGTAAAATCTACAGGTGGCAAATGTTAACATTGGTAAGAGTACGTAACAGATTTGTTAAAATTTTTATCTGGATATTGTTGAGGCTACCAGCTTTGTAGAATTTTAAGTAGATGTCTGTACTTGCAAGGAGTAGATGTGTGAGAATATCCATGTAGGCCTGACAGAGGATAGAAAAATATAAGCATTATGTGTAGTCAGGTGTCAGCAATTAAACTGACCCATAAATGGAGGCTTTGGAGTCTCATTTGATCAGTGAATGTAATTCAGTAATTGCCTCTACAGAACTTCTTTCAAATAAGTATCATTACAGAGTTCTTTCAGTTACCTGGCATGAAAAAAACTCTATTTCTTCTGGCAATTTCTGTTTCTGAAATTCTGCAAAATAATCTGCAAACTTCTGAAGTTCTGTGATTTCTGAATCATACATTCTCTTCCAAAATATCGGTATATTTATAGTACAAAAAAGGTTTAGTTTAAAAAGAGATCCAAGCATTCCATGAAGGTGATCTAAGAAGAAATAGGAGAGTCAGGAAAGGCCACCACAGAATGTGGATTTCTGATAAAAACTCATGGATCAAGAGGTGTTTTAACTTTGATGTTTCAGTGGATCATAGGATATGTAAACCTTGTACTTAATTTTTCTTATACTCTGTAACAGATTCTTCTAAATATTGTTGCATACAGTAGTATGGATATGTTGGTCTGGCAAAATAGCTTGCCTAAGATCTTTTTCATTCCAATCCCTTCGTGGTTAGGATTGTTTAATTTTGGAAGTGTCAAAAGACAGTGCTTCAAACTCTTTTTGTGAGTGGGTTTAATGTGAGCTTTAGTAAGCTGCTAACAGCTACCTTCAGTTTAATTTTGAAAAAAAGCAGTGTATGTACCTGACACCTGACGTAAGTAACTCCAATTTCTCCAAACCTCCACCACACCTATGTTTCTTACAAGTTAAGGAATAAAACTGCACCTCAGAACCCAAGTGTCAAGACAAAATAGTTACCTTAAAAAAGTGTGATATAGTGCCCATAGGCGTTTTTTCCCAGCTTCAAGAGCTACTACAGGAATTGGTCTTGCTCCTATGTTCCTCTTGATCTGAGCCGTTTGCTGCCTTTTCAGTTGCATGCTGGTTTTTAGCTGCTTCTGGCAGCTAAGCACTCGGCACTCAAATTCACAGACCGTGTTACTGCAAGAGGTACATCATCTCTTATCAGAAAAGATCGCTAGATAATTTTAATGTTCAGCTGCCATCATATATTGTTGTGAGCTTTTATTTAGGACCGGGTCTAAGACAAAAATGCTCATCCCACTCAAATTCTGTGTTTTCGTGTGGGACATGAAAGAGATTCGTGATTTTCTTAGGAGTAGCATACACTTTAGTTTAGCTGTCCAAGCTTAAATCAAAGGAGGCTGCAAAGGAGTGGGGAGAATACCAAGGTTTCTTGAAAGGCACGACAGGTGAGACAGCCGGTAGGAAATCTCTCTCCAGATGCCAGAAATGTTACAGGCTTAATACTTCAAGGGCAGAAAGCAGGATTTAAAGAAAGGATCTGTAGCTTCTGCTTTTAGGAAGCATTTTTTCTTTTCACTCCCTTCACCACTTTCTCATTAACAGCCGTTTAACTAATGGCAATTGCCCTTATTCCCAGGACTACCATGTTATTCTACTTCATGTTTCCAGCGGGGAGCAGAACTTCATTTATGATCTTGACACAGTGTTGCCGTTTCCGTGTCCTTTTGACATGTACAGTGTGGAGGCCTTTAGGTTGGATGACAGCCTTCGTCCAGAATTTCACAGGTGATGACATAAAATATAAAGACCATGAATGTTATTCCATGAAATCAATGTTGAAGTTCTCTTTGTGGATGCATAGTGACAGAGGTTTTTTGCTATGCTCCAGTAAAATAAATGCACTGTGTTATTTTTTCTAAAGTTCTTTACTTTAGTCATCAAAAGCCCTTTTCTTTCTTACTGTAGTTTCTTGTTAACTAGTTAAGTGCTTGGCACAATATTGCTGATTTATGTATTTAATGAAATTCATGCTCCTTGATGGGAGGAAAGGGCTCCTGTTCTGAGTGACTAATGCAATATTGCGTACATGCATCTTTTGATACAATTTTGTATTATTATTTAGGAAAATCAGAATGATTCGAGCAGATTTGTACTTGAAGACATTTGCTTCAGACAGATCTCATATGAAAGATGCAAATGGGAAATGGCAGAAACCTCCTCCTTCATACCCTTGCATTGAAACCGCAGGTAAGCTGCCAGAGCTCCTTTTTCCTGCTTACTGTGTCGAATGACATAGATGCACACAAGAAATAAATATGTTTCCTTAACATGTCTCCGGAAGCACATCCAGCTAGCTGTCATGGTTTAACCCCAGCCAGCAACTAAGCCCCACACAGCCGCTCACTCACTCTCCCCACAGTGGGATGGGGGAGAGAATAGGAAGAGTAAAAGTGAGAACTTTTATGGGTTGAGATAAAGACAGTTTAATAAGTAAAGCGAAAGCCGTGCATGCAAGCAAAGCAAAACAAGGAATTCATTCACTGCTGCCCATTGGCAGGCAGGTGTTCAGCCATCTCCAGGAAAGCAGGGCTCCATCACGTGTAATGGTTACTTGGGACGACAAATGCCATAGCTCTGAACATCCCCCCCTTCCTTCTTCTTCCCCAGCTTTATATGCTGAGCATGACGTCATATGGTATGGAATATCCCTGTGGTCAGTTGGGGTCAGCTGTCCTGGCTGTGTCCCCTCACAACTCCTTGTGCACCCCCAGCCTGCTCGCTGCTGGGGTGGGATGAGGAGCAGAAAAGGCCTTGACTCTGTGTAAGCACTGCTCAGCAGTGACGAAAACATCCCTGTGTTATCAACACTGTTTCCAGCACAAATCCAAAGCATAGCCCCATACTAGCTACTGTGAAGAAAATTAACTCTATCTCAGCCAAAACCAGTACACTAGCTTATTATTTCATATGGAAAAAAAAAAAAAAACAGGGCTATGAAGCATTTGGCACTTCCTTTTCTGAACATGTAAAGTCTCACATGCCTCCTGGCATTTACCATTATTAAATATTAATTACTGATCCTCATAAACTGAGCAGAGAATGAGAGGTAAGTAATACTTCTCTCTTGTTACAGCAGGGAACTGAAGCAAAGAGGCCAAATAACTTGCTTAGGGGTCACAAAGTGGATTTTTAACACACTGATTATACCATGCTTTAGCTGGCAGGTCCCATCCTGCCAGAGCAGGTTATTTTGACAGGAGGAAGTTTTCAGGCTCCGCTCAGTATGCTAGATTTGCCTGCATGAGATGTTTGAGGGTTTTTTGCCAGATGAATGGACCTGAGGACACTTTAAGGCAAACTGGCAAGTCAGTAAATTTTTCCCCAAGCCTTAAGCCTCTTTTAAGTGACAGTCTAGATAATAGTCTCTGGGCCAAACACAGAGAGAAGTAAAGACTTGCCATCTCTTCTATTCTGTAGAGCTGCTTAAACCATTCTTATCACACAGCATTTCAGCTTATTCTAATCATGCATTTGGCAAGCTGGCTAACAGTTGCCATGTGTTTGTTTGTTCTCTCATTTTCTTCCCAGATGGAGAAGAGTGTGGTGAAGTCTTGCTTTGAAAGAGTTTTCATGTTTTTGCTCTGCATGTTTGGTTTGGTTGCTTTTTTAATAATGCAGTACTGCTATGTATTTATGTTAGAGAAGGCAGGGTCAAAGAAACATGTTTTGTGTTTAGGTCCAAGTTTATCATGGTTTTAAGTTGCTGGGAAGTTGATTCTCAGTCTTTGCTTTGGCTTCTAAGGAAGCTTGGTGTTTGACACTAGAGTAGAAATGAATTATGAATGTGGGCAGGAGCACAGATGTAGTCTTCTTGTAAAGGTTTAGGTGTTTTCTAGATAATCCAGGTTATGAAGCACCTTAAACTCTGTGTCTTGGTCCTTATCTCCAGCAAAGGTTTATACAAAGGTGGTGTAGCAAGTGGAGAATGCCTGGTCTTCAGTGGATGGTTCACTGTTAGCTGGAGCCTCCTAGGTGCTGAGGACTTTTTGCCTGTGGAAACCTTATTCTTGTGATAGTTGAGAGCTAATGAAAGTGTGAGGAATATAGATCAGGCCAGACCAGGAAGGTGAAAACTTCTACCCAAATGAAAATAGTAGAAAGCACTACTTGTGGATACTAAGTTACAGAATGACTCACACAGTTGCAGATGTGTACATGTACCTCCAGCTGTAGGGAATGACTCCATAGCTGCAAACCCTGTAACTCTCCACTTACCTGTCTTGCTTGACTGAGCTTTACCTCACTGATGCGCAGCAGGCATGTGGTCTCAACCAACCTCCAGATTATCTCTGTGATGTTAATAGGTAGTGAAAGATACATGGATCTTCTATTTCTCCCATGCTTTATTTCTTTGCTCTGTATCTTGCCATGCTGAAAGGAACATCCATAGCTCATCCAATCCAACCCCTGCTCAAAACAGGCGTTCCCTAGGGCTCTGTCCAGCCTCGCCTTGAACACCTCCAGGGATGGAGATTCCACCAGCTCTCTGGGCACTCTGTTCCAATGACCACTGTCATGGTAAAAAAAAAAATATTCCTCATACCTAATCAGAATTTCCCATGTTCCAACTTCCGTTCTTTGCTTCCTGTCCTGTTGCCAGGCTCCTCCAAGAAGGTTCTGGCTCCATCATCTCTGTGTCCTCTGATCAGGTAGGTGTAGACAGCAGAAAGGTCTCCCCTTCATCTTCTCTGTTTAAGACTGAACAGGCCCAGTTCTCTCAGCCTCTCCTTGAATATCATGTTCTCCCGCCCCAAACAACTTGGATGTTCCTCTTCTGGGCTCACTCCAGTGTGTCAGTGTTTTGGGTTTTTTTTGTACTGAGGAGCCCCAAACTGGACAGAGTATTCCAGCTCTGTCCTGATGTGCTCTGGTCTCCTGGTCAGCTGGCTGAGTGTCGCAGATGAAGTAAACTGGTTACCCTGCACCCACCGAAGGTGGAAGGTCATTCACTAGGTAGCTTCAAGATCTGGGTCAGAACAGGAATAGATTGTATCAGATCTATGATGTTTAGTTTAAGTTGTCTTTCATTCAGTGTCAGTTTCTCCAGCTTTTTTGTCTTCCCTGTATTTACTTGAGAGATCTTATAATGATGCATGCTTCAATGTGCACAATGCTGTAAGTCAGTGAGGAGTCTGGGTTTAACTGTTGTGGGACAAGCATGTGCTTTAACTTTTAGCTGAACATAAGTCCCGTGCTTCAGTGATGCGGTTCCATAGATGAGCACGTGTCCTGCAGGCCAACATACAGGTTTAGAAAACATTGCTGTCAACACATGGAACTGGTAATTCTCTTCCTTTAGTGACTGGTAAAGTAATGTCTCAGCACAGTTTTATCAGGCATAAAAACGCCTTATTTTAAACTTGAAGGAAAACTGGGTGGCAGACCTTTTGTTATCATAAAAGAGCCTGGGGTATTAATGTTCACATCCGTGCCAAATTCCATTTCAGATAACTCTTTTCTCCCTGTTGTTTTACTTAGATAGAGTACTCTGCTTTCCATGTTAATTTGTGTTTGCACCAGATTAAATTGCTTATGTATTTCATGTTAGAGGTTACTGCAATTTAATGGCTGACAGAATTGACCACATATTGTTTTAGTATCAATTTATTTGTGAGGCACATTTAGATCATAGCATTATATTAATTGAGATTATTTTTATTTATTTATTTATTATTTTGCTGTCATTTAGAGTAGCCAAATTCCTAAGCTCTTGACAAGATAATTACAAAAGCTGGGGTAGGTTGACCCTGGCTGGATGCCAGGTGCCCACCAAAGCCGCTCTATCACTCCCCTCCTCAGCTGGACAGGGGAGAGAAAATATGATGGGTCAAGATAAGGACAGGGAGAGATCACTCAGCAATTACTGTCACAGGCAAAACAGACTTGACTTGGGGAAAATTAATTTAATTTATTACCAATCAAATCAGAGTAGGATAATGAGAAATAAAACCTAAATCTTAAAACACCTTCCCCCCACCTCTCCCTTCTTCCCGGGCTCAACTTCACTCCTGATTTCTTTACCTCCTCCCTGCCCAGTGGTGCAGGGGGATAGGGAATGGGGGTTGTGGTCAGTTCATCACACGTTGTCTCTGCTGCTCCTTCCTCCTCAGGGGAGGACTCCTCACACGCTTCCCCTGCTCCAGCCTGGGGTCCCTCCCATGTGAGACAGTTCACCGTGAATGTCTCCAATGCGAGTCCTTCCCATGGGCTGCAGTTCTTCGTGAACTGCTGCAGCGTGCTCCACGGGGCCACAGGTCCTGCCAGGAGCCTGCTCCAGCGCGGGCTTCCCACGGGGTCACAGCCTCCTTTGGGCATCCACCTGCTCCGGCGTGGGGTCCTCCATGGGCTGCAGGGGGACAGCCTGCCTCACCATGGTCTTCACCATGGGCTGCAGGGGAATCTCTGCTCCGGCGCCTGGAGCACCTCCTCCCCCTCCTTCTGCACTGACCTTGGTGTCTGCAGGGTTGTTTCTCTCACATATTCTCACTCCTCTCTCTGGCTGCAGTTGTGCAGAATTTTTTTCCTCCCTTCTTACATATGTTATCCCAGAGGCACTACCACCGTCTCTGATGGGCTCGCCCTTGGCCAGCGGTGGGTCTGTGTTGGAGCCGGCTGGCATTGGCTCTATCGGACACAGAGGGGAAGCTTCTCGCAGCTTCTCACAGAAGCCACCCCTCTAGCCCCCCCGCTACCAAAACCTTGCCATACAAACCCAATAAAAAAGCATAGAAAGTTCTTATATTACTTCTGTGTGCTATATGTCTTCTTTAATGTCAAATAAATGCTTGAAGACTGAAAAAGTACAATAAAAATGTATCAGTCTTTTTTAATCTATGAGCATTGTGCTGTTAAATGTGCCCATGAGCTCTTGGTATTTAAAGGTAATCAGTGCTCTGGTACTACTATGTTGCTACAATTTGCTATGTGTTAAAGCATATTAGTTACACTTACATACGCTGCTGCTCTTATCCCACCAGGTTTTAAAGCTTTTAATAAACTTAAAAAGGCAAGTATGTCTACTCTTGATCCTAAAATATTGCCTCTTCCAGAGCAGAGCAGCTATTAAGCCTGAATATAGCACTTTGGAAAAGGAAATTCCATAGTATCGAAGTCAAATCTAAGTTCAATAGGACTATAGGTAGGATAATGTAATTCCCAGTGTGGAGCTGGGACAGGATACTGGGACCAGTGATACTTTTTTATGAAATATACCAGGAAATGTTTAATGACAATGAAATTCCTTTTGGAATGGAATCAAGGAATCTCTATCAGTAACCAGCTCAGCAATTTTTTTTTCTTAACTCAAAAGGAATAATTCTTAATCTGTATTTGTGCTGCTCATGGGGTTGCAAAATAAACCTTCTAAAATAAGCTTGAGTCATAAATTCCAGTCCATGCTTAAAAAAAATTGAAGTGGGAACTAGGTGATTTTTTTTTAAAAGAACCTTAGAATTATTTAAAAAAAAAATAACAAACAACCCCAAACCAACTGACTGAACAAAAAAACCTGAAACTCCTCAATATCTCCTCAGAACTCACATGCCAGGCATTAGCCTTTTGCGACTAGCTCTGGTCTAGCCATTTCCCAGAGCCAGGCCTCTATGTTTCTTGTTGGGATTGCTCTGGCCTCTGTTCTGCTCTGCTGCCGTGCATGCCAGGAGAAGCTGGCTAACCGAACTGGGTGCGCGGTGCTTCTCACCCAGCCCTATCCTCAAAGCAGCTCTGCTGGAGTAAGCATACCTGAGCTGCAGCAGATTCCCCTGGTCCCACCTCGTTGCCAGTTGAAAGGAAACAAGGGTGAGTCTGGTATTTTGTTCAAATAATAAAAATTAAGAAGATGGAATTTGGTGCACAGATTCATCATTCTAGGGCTGGCAAGCCCAGCCTGGGGTTTTCTTTTAAGTCTTCTCTTCACAAATTAATGAGATCTGATTCTGCTTAGTTTATGAGTCCTGATGAGATCAGCCCTCCTTACTGCAAGCCTGTGTAAAATACAGCTTGCACAGTGCATTTCAAGATTACTCAGAACAGATGGTCTTACTGCTTATATACAACTGTTAGCATCAGCTCTAACACTGAAAAGCATTGGTTTGGATTTCAGTTCTCCCTAGGTGTTTGGTAGCACAGTGGCAGGATTGATTTGTAAAGGCTTTTTGTTCTATTATTATTGTTAAAATCCCTGGTAGTCATGAATGATGGGGTTTTACTTGCGGTTTTTTGTTTTGAAGAGCATGAGTAGGACAGCTGAGAAATTCTGGAGGCACTGTGTGTGACACGTCTATGTAACAGGCAAGCTGCTAGACAGAGGCCAGGCAGATGCCTGCGGTTTCTTTCTGTATCTCCTCTCTGAGGTGGTGGTAGGATCCTAGTGAAAGCAAAGAAGCAGCACTGATACAGTTATAAGTAGCTCATATGCACTTCATGGGAACCTTCTGCTCCTCTTGTTTGAGAATAAAACTCCAGTCTGTCAAGTTAGGTCCTTACTTCATGAGCTTTCGTGGAAGTAAAGAATCAAGTTGGGATAGAGGCAATAAAGGTACAAGTAAAGACAGAAGTATTTAAATTCTGTGAGTGGCTTATTGAAATTACACTGCTTTCTGTGAAAGATAATTTAAGGTGACCAGCTTTGTTTTACATTGAGATGGACCAAGGTGGTTTGCACAGTTGGTTATGTCTCAGCTGCGGGGACAGCACCCTCCAGCTGAGTGTCCTAACAGCCTTTCCGACTCCGCCTGCAAAAACACTTCTCTCCCTGCTCAGGCAAGGGAGGGGGCTCTGAAGAGAACTGTAGATGCCTACGCAAGCCTGTGAAGAGCCCAACTTTCTAAGTATTTTAGGTGCCCCCAAGGTTAGGCAGCAGCAGAGCTGATCTTGGAGGCCTTGTTTCAGACTTGCTCACCTCCAGCAGCTGTCATTATGCAGAGTTAGTCCAAGGTCTGTGAGCCAGGCTGAGGCTTGGCTGAAACATTGCTTTCTAACTGCTGCTGGCAGAAACAACAAGTATCGTGGCTAACAATGCCATCTGATAGTGCATGGCCTTCTATTTCATCCCTGCTAGGGGCAAAATTGTCAGACTTGATTAAAAAAATAAAATCAAGCAGGAATCCCAGAATGCACCAGCTAGGTCTCGTTGACAGTGTGTGTGCATAACAAAGTGGGTTTCGTCAAAGAGGAAGCATTGGCTCTGAGCACGCACAAATTAAAGCTAGTATAATAGCCAGAGCACCTGAGGAGGACTGCACACGTAATGAAAATCTTTAAAAAAAAAATAATTCTGGTGCTTCTGACCTTGTATAAATGTTACATAAAGCATGCTCCTCCTTGCTTTTGTGGAGAAATCATCTTGGTTTGTCCACTGTAGCATCCAGTTGTCTCTTTGGTAAATTCTGCTGTTTGTCTCTCTTCATCTGCTTCGGGAAGAGGACTTTGTGGTGTTCTCATGCATTTTTGCTGAGCTGTTTCATAAAGCTGCAGGGTCTAACATAACATATATGGCATTCAGATACAGCACATGAGTAAGAAGAGCAGCATAGAGAGACCATTACCTCCTGAATTTAATAGAACGGGAGAGGTCTCACTATGTTTTTTCCCATTGATAGCTCTCATACTGCTTCAGTGCCATCTACTGACCGGTTCTTAGACCCTCCGCTCTTCACAGGGATGTTCCTGTTTGCTTTGTTAAAACAATTTTTCTTTTCATTAAACTTTTCTTATGGACTGCATTATGCTCTGCCCCAATCCTTCTGAATTTAAGAGAATATTTCATTTCCTACAGACATTGTGACAGCAAATTCCAAGCTGTTAACAGCAGCCACTGCTATGTTTGTAACTACTGGAACAATCCCCTTTGGGCTTCTTTACCATTCACAGAACAGTTTTATGAAATTATTATTCTACTATGCTCAGTGCATATAAAGCAGGGAATTATTTATCTTTCAAATCTTTAACTATATGAAGAATCACATTAATATTAAAACAAAAGCATCTGGGAGAAAAAGACAAGTTGGGAATTGGAAAGCAGGCTTACCAGTCCATCAGCAAGCAAGAGCTGTTATCCGCTACTAATTGTTGTTAAGCTACAACATCAAATTGCTGGGATTGTGTGATTTTAAATCCCCACATAGTCCGGCAGAAATTGGCCCTGTTCTGCCAGACTCGCTTCAGCAATAGGAAGATGCTTGGCTGGATGCGAGGATTTTCAACGTGCAGAGCCCAAACAGGTTAACAAGAAAGGAATTAGGGGCCAGACCTTGGAACTGGTGAGAGCTGGGATTAGGCAAATCACAAAGCTGTGCCGTAGTGTAGATGTGGTGCAAACAGAGGGCTTTGGGGGCTGGATTATGGCTGGGGCTGCTGGGGCTGGGGTTCCCGAACATCGTCTTCCCTTCCTCACTTATGCTGTCCATAATGGTAAGCCTAATTACACAAGCTTTTTGCAACTGAAGCGAATTCCACCCTATGGATTTTATAATCCATTCATTAGAGCCTACTCTTGTTTGGTTCTTAATCCTTAAATGTGCACATGAATCATCCATGTTAAAATAAATACTTAAATACAGCAGAAAAGCTCTAACAGTAAATCCAATGGCACTCCCACTCTGTTCTTTAAACTCATTCTCTTCCAGTTTTGTTTTAATGGGCATTTAAAAAGATTATTTGTGCAGATCGTCAGTGAGAACATAAAACAACAAGCCCACGGATGTTTGTAGTCAGAGCTGACTAGGCTGAGGAATCGGAAACCTCTGATCAGCATGGTTCTGAGTCAGCAAAGCTGGTACCAGGCCAGCTCCAGAAAAAGGATGTATAAGGCATCTAAACCCAAAACTGCACACCAGCACTTTCCACTGAAGTCTCTGGGATCCACGAACGGGACAGAATGGTTTCTGCCTCTCCTGCAGGGTCAGAGCAGATCAAACTCCTGGCAAGGAGCAGGCATGGTTACTTTTCTCTTGAAGCTACGGCAGTTTATCTTTTCCCCCTCTGACTTCATTTAGTGGTTCAGGATTCACAAAAAAAAGTGTTTTCCCCCAGCCTAGGTTTGTGCCCTTCTTTGCTTGAGCATCCCTCTAGGCTGCGGGCTGGGTTACATTAGACGTTTCCTCCGGTCTGCATATTCTGGCCTGGGAGTGGGCCGGGCCGTGTACAGCAAGGACAAAGTTCAGGGTTGGAGGGAGAGCAAGTACAGAGCAAATACTGTAGTCTGGGGAGTAACAAATTGTAGGTTTGCCAAGGGGGTCATCGCTTCTGAGAGACACTAAGCAACTTCCAATTCTGACTGCTGCTCTGATCCAGTTCCTCTGTACTCAGTGGAACAAGAGCAAAAGCTGACTCAGTTGACTTTGGTTCAGAACTTAATAGGGGAATAATATCTCCCCTGCTTTGGAGTAATCATCAGATTTGTGTGAATGCAGGAAGACTACAGGCACCTGTTGCATTGCAGTTGCCTGTGCTGGTTGTTATTTGCACTCCAGTTCTCTGACACTACTCAACCCTTCTAGGCTGCTCTTGCAGGGAAAAATCTTACTCTTCCCTACGCATACTAGTTTCTAATGACTTAAGGATGCTTACTGATACAGTAATGTGATTATTGTCATGGGCAGAGTGAGATCGGGGCAAAAGCAGTACTTCAGAGACTGAAAACAGATGTTTTCATAGCACTGTACAATTTGCAGAATCTTGCAAGTGTGCTATGAACTCTTCGCTATTTTGAACTGAACTATCAAAGAGGGGTTTGGGGGCATTTTCTTGATAGATGTATACCTGTGCTACAGAAGCTGCATCAGGAACTTAAATATTTCCCTTTTCTGGTCCTTTTTTAGACTCCAAGATGAACTTGGATGATTTCATCAGTATGAATCCCAAAGTGGGATGGGGCTCAGTGTTTCCCCTTCCGGACTTTGTGCATCGCTTTGGCAGACAGACTGATTACAGCTATTCCTTGGAAGGACAGTGAAGTGAACAAAGAAGTTCTCCCTGCTTCTGTTTTGAGCGGGTGTGTTTTGTTTTGCTGCTCTTACGTTGTATTTATAGTTCACGTTTCTTTACATGGAATAAGTATATGGGCAAATAGAATACCCAATCAGCAATATCATGAACTGAATAAAAACTTTTATTTTGATTACATAAGAATGAAGGTGGTTTTTAACATGTCAAATCAAAGGCAGACATCCCACTGTAGGCATATTACTTTTCCATCCACTGTGCCCAAATTGAAAAGAGCATTTACATGCTATAAGAAAAACTTTTGGAAAAATATGTGCATAAAATACTGAACAAGGTAGCTCAAATTGTTAAATGTCGCCACATTTTAGAAGTGGATACGGTGTATTTTCTTTATGTTCTGATTTCTATCACTTATATAAACAGACGGCGCCTCTTAGTTTAGTCACTAACTTTATCAATTAGGCTTATTTAGCAGAAGCCTAAAGGCCAGACCCACAAAGGGAACGTAGATTAGTAGTACAATCTTGAACTCCCAAGCATTATGTAAAACCAGGTAGGCATCTCGGTTTCTGTGTTGTGCGAGGGGAGAATTAAACGCCTGCCATTTCAGTTAAACTGTTCTAGTGCTGACAGTTGCTGGAAGATGCAGTTGCTTTTCCTTCTTACACTGGCTGCGCATTCTCACCTGCCCTCATGTGCTTGCACTTGGCATTTGCCTGGCCCCACGGTAATCCAGGGTAGGAAGCTGAACCGACAGAAAGAAGTAATATTTTTTTTCTGCCTCTTAGCTCCTTGAACTGGCTTGCCATGAGGGCAGACAGCTGTTCTTGCTGGCATAAGGAGATCAGCAGTAACATACGGCCGGGGGGAAGGGAATGAGAAAGCCTCTCCCGTACAGGGTCGCTTGCTGCTGAATTTCCTTCGAGGTGATATCGAGCTGCATCCTTGCAGGGGAACCCAGGAAAGCCATCACGTTGATTGGGGCTTTGGAGCAAAGTCTCCCACGAGCAGGAACATACGGCCGGGGGGAAGGGAATGAGAAAGCCTCTCCCGTACAGGGTCGCTTGCTGCTGAATTTCCTTCGAGGTGATATCGAGCTGCATCCTTGCAGGGGAACCCAGGAAAGCCATCACGTTGATTGGGGCTTTGGAGCAAAGTCTCCCACGTCTTAGAAGAGTGCCCTAAACATGGGATTACAGAAGCAGGCCAAGATGGGGTATTTAATTCTCTGGTTTTGGACCTGTTCTACTTTATACACTAGCATATCATAGAATCACGGACTGGTAGAATAATTCATGGTAGAAGGGTCAGGCGGTCTCTAGTCCAATCTCCTGTTCAAATCAGGTCAGACCAGGCTGCCCAGGGCGTTATCCAGTCAGGCGTTGGAAACCTGCCGGGATTGAGACTACAACAAAGATTTGTGATGGACTTAAGTCTTGCTGAGGAAAAGCACAGTAACGGTTTTAAGTATTAAGGGATCATTTTATTTGTAAGCACAGAAAAATACAAAACCTTCAAAGACACTTATATGTATATTACTGTTATATAGGTGTATTGTTATATACATATTTTATTACTGTATCTCACATCAGTTCCAGAGAATTTACTCAGCATGTTAACAGCAGAGACAGACCGTTGAACAACTGTGGGATTGATTCACTTCATCCAGACATCTCTTTTTCTGTGTCATAAGGGCTGGCTGAATGTAGAAACTTACACTTTCTGTTGCCAGATGCAGCACAGCTGGTTGGCCATGCAGATAGGCTGCTACCACACGGATTCCTTGGGTGCCAGCACGGACTACGGATGGGAGGCCAGTTGTCAGGGCACTCATCTGCAGAGTGGGAGAGTTGATCTGTCGTTTCTGTCTCTGTGAACCAGCTTCACCAGAAGAGATTGAGATGATGGAACTCAGAATTCCTGATAAACTGGTGCTCAGAGCTCTCCGAAGAGGGGGCAGCTCCGGATTTAACCAGATACACCTGTGGAAAAGGTCTGATTTATCGGTGTTTGGATGAAATGGGCACCTCTTTCTGCATGATGCTGATGTGGCAGGCATGCTTTGAGTGAGTGAAGATGTTGTTACTTAGTATTTTTGAGTGATGTCAAGACTGGTTGTGAATGTGCACAACGGCAGAAATTTGCCAGCTCAGCTCTGTAGAGATGCTAACCCGGTGCCCAGGGCATTGCACGCACTGCCCAGCTTAGGCAAGGCAGAACTGAGAACTTGAAGTTCCTCGTTTTAGATGAACGGGTTATGTTAAGCACCTTTTTATCCTTCAAGTAAGTGATTGAATCTCATATACACAGAGTTCCTGTGCATTGCTCAACAGACCCTTTAAGTTGTTGCAGAACATTAGGTTCTCATCCCTCCCTACTTGAGTCATCTGATTTAAATACTGAGCTGCCATCCTCAGCTGCTTTCCAGTGCCTAAAACCCGTGACACGCTCCCTTTAGTGAGGCTCAGACACAAGAATTTGCCTGGTTTAATGCAGTTTCAGGATCGAGGCTGTTAAGAAGGAGAACAGTCACAACCATTATTCAGAACATACAAGTTTAAAAAAAAAAATCAATGGGAAGAGACAGTCCTCTTTCTAATCCTTCTGAACAGATGGTTAACTTTACGTGTAGCAGGCTGGGTGTGTGTGATGATAGCTTTTCTATAATTAACGATCTTTTTGTAGCTCTTGTGAAAAGTTGTCATTCCAGAGGGATAGGTAAAAGCCAGGGAATGGTTTCATTCAGTGCTGAGGGTGTTGATATTGCGGTGCTGTCTCTGTAGCCCTTCAAGCCTGGTGGCATTTCATCGCCATTTCAGAAGGTATGCTGTCAGAAGGACAGAATTCAGGAACACACCAAGTGCTCATTTAGGGCCCCAAATACAAGGAGGAGTGACTTGCTTCACCATAATTAGTAGAGACCAGCCCTTTTTCTAATGCTGATTAGCCCTGGTGTCCCATGGAGGGACTAAGTGAATTCCCTCACCTTTTTGCTCCTTTCTCTCTCCAATTAACCCTCGTCCTGACTGTTTTGGAGAACATGCTGTGTTTAACCTTCTGCTGTCACCTCAGAGTGACGCGTGAGGTGGCCCCACCAGCGTGGTTTACTCACTGCGCGCCACGGTAAGTTGCAAACAGAAAAGCAAAGTTTGTTGAGAGCCGCTTTGCCGAGTGCCTGCAGAAGCATCGCACATCAGAAGTACAAAGAACTGCCACTGTAAAGCTGATGGTGAGGAGGCAACTCCACTGCCACAGACATCACTAATTATCAGCTCTGTGATCACTGATGTATCTAAACACCTAAGATTCAAGTGACTTTATACCACGGACATACAGACCTATGGGGTACACCATACGGCAGAGCATGACTCCGTGGTCCTCGGGTACAGCTCCAAGCTGTAGTGCAGCTTGTTTGCTTAGGGCAGCTTTGCTTTCCGTTCCGCTTCAGCCTTCTTTACCTCGTCCTTTCCCACAGCGGAGTCTTTCTGTTGTCCAGTTACTACAGGATTTATGTGCTGAGAGCCCCTAAGTGGTGGCTTTTTGGACTAGGTCACCCTTGAGTCAGGCATTGAACAAAGCGAGGAGAAACCCCCCTGCCCTCGGGTCAGTTACTCACAATCCCACGGTCTCCCACTTCTGTATTCTGGTGGTCACGGGAAATTCTCCAACACTTTTACTTCTAGACATCGTAGGGCAAGACCCTGATAGCCTTATACTCATCATGGGGGGACACCCTATCTCCTGGGTAGTTCCTCTCGCCTCCATCAGCCTACTGATGCAGTAAGCTGCAGCACGAGATAGGACACCCACGTCTCTCCTGCCCTTTTCTCTTCTTCCCTATTGCTTTTTAGTTAAGAATATCGTTTATTTGGTAACTGACCTCTTTTATTTGCCTGTTTGGGACTTTAGAAAAAAAAAAGCTGTTTTTTCTGGCATGCATTTGCTTGGTCAGCACATTTTTGCAAACTTACACATGACCAAGTCTGTCTTGAGAACGTACCATCTCGCAGTCGGCCAGCAGAGAGAGCAGTCAGCATTCGGTGGACCTGCGGGTTGGGACGCTTGGCCAGAGGCGCTCTCCTGCATGCTGGGCCCTGCCAGTAGCTCTTACAGTTAAAAAAAAATAATTCTGACAGCAGCACAGAGGCGATCTGTATCTTGCAAGGTTGGGGCTAATGGGTTACTGTTGCCCTTGACTGCCTGAGTCTGTAACATCAGCGCAAGTCCTTCCTGCGCATCAAGGGCTATATGCCAGCATCAACAAACCACCTACCAGTTTTGGGGGGATATGTTCAGGATTCACAATCCCTACTGAAATGGGTGTGGGACACCTGAGAATATCGGACTAATTGTTTTGCTGTCAATTTATGGACTTCAGAGGCTAAATTTAGGTACCTGAGGTGCTGCAATCTGATCTGCACTATTAAGGAGGCCGGGAGGCACCAAGGTGCATTTGTATGAATCAGATTCTGGGATGAGAGCCCCGGTCGGGACATTTTGACCTGCATGGCCTCCTCTCCTTGCCCCCTCATCGTCCAGCCAGAGCCTCGTGTGTGCTCCGAAGCACTGTTGCTCTCCAAACATCTACTGTAAAACAGCCATCTCTAGGGTTCGCTTTTCCTTTGTTAGAATGACTTTGGTCCAAGTTCGCTCATTTTTCATAGATTTTTTCCCCCACCTTTGCAGCAAACACGGGTTGTAGACAGAACGACCTGAGAAAGCCATACCAGGGAATAGGAAGGAGGTGGGAAAATCCCACCGTGTCCCTGCAGTAGTCACAGTTATCTCCCACCGGGTGCCTTGCAGAACCATGACCGAGACACCGTCCATGACCCAGGTGGTGGCTGGCCCCCGCGACTGGCGCAAGCCACGCTGCCGGAGGGGAGGACCTCCAGAGCGTCACTTCACGCATCGGCCGGCTGAGCAGATGGCTCCAGGCTTGGTGGGGTTGCCCTCCTATGACACTTCGGATTCGCGGGCTTGGAGAATCTCATCTCCTCTCGAGGTGAAACCTGTCTGGACGTCTGTCTCTCTTCAGGTAATGACCTACTCAGAAACTTGAGGGAGGGAATGCTGGTGATTTTCTTCTCCCTTCTGGCTTCCTCCTTATGCAGGAGTTGGCCCAGTTGAGGCCAAGGTTAATGAAGCATGCCCAGAGAGTGAGTGTCCGGAGACATC